AGGAGATGGTCTGGCATCGAGTCATTTATCCGACTTCCCATTCTTGGATGTCTTGTCTGGACGACATTGATATTTCGGATGGTTCCTCTTGCATATCAAGCAAACATGCATGAACCTTCAATGTTGGTGGCTGCATCCTCTATTGTTGTAATTATTACAGATGGATTGTCCCTGGTGGAAGATAATGGCTCATCCATGGGCGTCTGTACTGTCAAAATTGTTCTTCTGTGTCTGCTGCAGCTTCCTGGGTCCCAAGGATGATTTGAGTTGGCCATCAAGTGACAATGGGCAGAATTCTAGTGCGTGATTTAATTCGCCGCACCACTGGCATGCATTGGCTTTCCTGGACGTAAAGATCTTGATATAGAGTTCTCGGTCCAGTCTGCCCCAGTTTACTGGTCGATTTAATAGTTCAATGGCTGCTGCCGCTTGTGCAGAGAACATCTTGTAAGTGTAGAACGCATTGTCGTACGTCTCGTTACTTAGTCCAATAATGATGCCTTGATATTCGTCCAACTCTGCTGACCTGTTGGGGAATTTCTCCAACATTATCTTTTTTAATCTTTCAAATGCTTTGAGAAAGTCTCTGATACCCAACACTTTCTGAAGTCGCTTGTCATTTGTAGTTTTAAGATGTAATTGACCATCACCTATCTGAATGCTACGTGGGCCACAATGAACATCATCCGGAATTAGTAACAGAGCCAAATTAATGTCCCTACCCTCGTGAATCTGTTGCCTGAGATTTGCAGACGCTGTCTCCAGTCTTGGCAGTGTGTTGGGGTCCAGTGGTTGCGTAGCGGTGGCGGCATGGTTGGCAATGGCAGTTGTCAGGGTGAATTTCCTGTGTATTCTAATTTCTTCTCTAGCGGGTGATTGCTGCGGCAGGGTGGAGGGACTTGTCGTTGTTTCAGTGGCGGAAGGTGACGATTGAGTATGGTGAGGCAGCAAAACGTACCAGTTGGCAGGATTGTGAGAATGTTCGTTGGCTGCCGAGTCTGGATTTATTGACTGGTATCTCCTGCGAACGTCCGAAGAATTAGACCGAAGTCGTGTCGGCCATCTTGGTTGTTGACATCGATGGCAGCTTCGTTCGTCGAATTGCGTTTTCGACGAGAAGCCATAGTCCTGTACAGAGGAGTTACTGTATGTGACGGTCACTTTTGGTTACTACGTAGGTACGTCGTTGAGAATCCGGAATGTATGTCATAAAACAGTTCAGTCAAGATCCGACCATTACGAAGCGTGCTTGAATGAACCATGTGTTGTGAGATGGACAAAGGAATTGCTGACAGCTGACTGCGCATGCACTATGGCATGATTAAGTTTGGGCGTGTGAGAGAAACGGAATACGATTGTGAACTACTCAAGTTTTCAAGCCGACTTAACTACAAATAAACACTCATTGGAGTATATTACCTGATAACTAAGTCACATGTTAGTTGTTCCCCATAGATGAAGCTAGGCAACACCGATAAATGTGATGGCTGAACGATCGCATCCAAAAGCGGGAGAGGTATGACAATCTGTATTTGGAGAAAAGGTACAGGTAATAGACGTGAGGATTGTGAGAATATGTGGGAAACATGCACGAGTGCATAAAATGGACTTGTCCATGCGCCCTCATGGTTTAATCTCCCTGCAGTGTTTTATTGTACGAAAATCAACTGCCACTCATTTATTTCTTAATATATATATATACTAGCCACATTAAGAAACTGTGCACAGAGAAAATATAGATATAAGGGCACACCGTCCATATATGAAATATAGGTTTGAACACAGCAATTATTGGAGACATTCAAACGCTCATGCATGTGCCATGCGATATGACGTCATTGATGGGGGCCTATGGACGTGCAATGTGTTACTGCACGTGCATCCTGTGCAGCTGTACACAGCATGTGCAACTCAAAATTGGCTGTCACTTTGGAAAGCATGATCTGTGGTCATTCAAAAATTCAAAACTTCTCAGGCGCAGACACAAGCATATCACAAGCAAATCATGCCAAGATTGACAGCTGCACAGTGTCATGAAGCCATTGGAATGATCCGAGCGGGAATGAGGCAACAACAGGTGGCAACACATTTCCAATGCCATCGTAACACGATATCGGCATTGGTGAGGCGTTATCAGAACACAAATGACGTTGCCGACCACCCACATTCAGGACGTCCCCGAGTAACGACGCCAAGACAGGACAGATGGATTCGAGTTACACATCTCCGACACAGGTTCCAAACGGCAGTAACAACGTCCCAGACAATTCCTGGACTGCGCCGTATCCATCCCAACACTGTCAGGAATCGTTTACATCAGTACGGGATTCGACCACGACGCCCTGCCATACGTCCCATCCTGACACACCGTCATCGAGTCAACCGTCTAAGATGGTCTCGAATATGGTGGAGAAATGTTGTCTTTACAGATGAATCAAGGTTCAACATTTCCCACAGTGACGGGTGCCAACGTGTCTACCGGCGTTTGGGAGAACGTTATGCACGCAACTGTATTGTGGAGAAGAATCGTTTTGGAGGTGGCTCTGTGATGATTTGGGGTGGGATAACAGCACGGCACCGAACCCCTTTGGTGGTTGTTCAGGGCAATCTCACCAGTGTTGGCTACAGAGATCAGATTCTGAGGCCTGTGGTCATTCCTTTCCTGCAACGTCATGGCCCGGGATTGACATTTCAACAGGACAACACTCGTCCTCACACGGCTAGGGTCGCAATGGATTTCCTTCACCATAACAATGTCATGTTACTGCCATGGCCTGCAGTTTCTCCAGATCTCTCCCCAATAGAGCATGTGTGGGATGAAATGGAGCGTCGTCTGCATCGTCTTCCACATCCTCCAGATAACGTCCGTGACTTGGCACAGGATTTGAGGAGGATATGGCAGGCCATTCCCCAGGCCTTCCATGCCCATTTGGTGGACTCCATGCGTCGCCGATGCACTGCTGTGATTCACGCACAGGGTGGTCATACCCGTTATTGACTTTGTGACTTTGTCGTTTGACCCCCTACTCCATTTTGATCTTCTGACGTCATCGTAACAGATGTTGTTCACGTCCCGTTGACATTTACTGCATCATTTTGTTCTTGCTGTGTTGTATTTCAATACAGAATATATTTTCTCCGTGCACAGTTTCTGTATGTGGCTAGTATATATATGTAGAATGTATAGAACTAATATATATATGTAAATGTATATATTAACTCTACACACTTACTCAGTATTCACCTGATGAAGGGACATGAAGTAGTTACAAAGACTAAAAGAAGTTGTGATAATCATTTTGAGCCAAATCCCTAAATATCTGTAAGTATCCATTCTATACAGGTTGACTTACCTGCAGTGGAACGATACTTGTGTTGCAGCCTCTGCTGGTCTGGCTAAATGAGGACCAAGGCGGTGGGGTGTGAGACACCTGTTTATTCTTGCTATGTAACGTGGCTATTACATGACACTCTGTAATAACAATAAAATAGGCAATAAGTATTCCTAAACACATCTACATGTATCACAAAAATATATAAATCAATTAAATATTGCATAAAGAAAAATTAAAATCTCACTGTCAAGTCCCTGCATATTTATATATGATATGCAGCATTAGAATTTCATAATAAGTTAATCACTTTACTCATAAACAAATAGCTATATATTACCTACCAGCTGAACATTACTGATAGTATACGAAACAATTATACAGGTGTAATTGAAATAGGCATATATACATATATACACAATATGACATTTGCATCTGGGCCTCTTTAGTTGAAACAAACTACAACAAAGGCATACCCTGTGGGTGACACGGGAGCCTAGCCTTCAGCCTGAGGGGCAGCGAACCCTTTTTAGTGAGCCGTATGCAGTAACCTACATGATAAATAACAATCACATATTATTCACATTGTTCATTATGAATACACAACGCAGACAACATATATATTTCCTAAATAGCATTTTGTCCATATTTACAATATTCCTGATTATTTCATATCAAATAATAATCATACAGACAAAGCTTACACTATGCATTAAGATTGAAATATTGCACAGCCATTACACTGAAATCTAACACATTGTTTCATGAACCCATTCATAACATTCATGCTAATAAATCACTAACTATTTATAATATCACAAAAAGTAGATTACTATAAGTTATTTAATGCAAACAGTAAGATTAATATACTTTTAGACAATAGACTAAGTTTAGTAAGTAATAATAATAACTAACCTGTGTACTGTGGTGCAGTGCTGTGATAGTGACTATGGTCAGAGGTTTTAAGATGGCTGGTGACATAGATATTCAAAATCACCAATCAAGACAAAGAACTAGCCTTCAGCCCTTTGATCAAGACAGTAAAACAATTACACTAAAATGGAATAACCTGACTACCCTTAAAACAAGAATGAACTGAACCTATAACCTGATTAAGCTATGAGAGTATTATACCCGAGATAGAGATAGACAGACAACTAATAATGACACTTGTTGTAAACAAGCAGTAGTCTGTTGAACAACCCTATATACATATATACAACACATAATAGAATGTAATTGGTACTATTGTTAAAAAATGGTTGATTTTATCCCTGTTACACTCGAATGGCTTGTGTTGTTTGTCCGAAAGTGAAAAACTTTGGTTTTATCTGTATCTACTTCCAATCTCCACTTTTGACTGGCACATCTAGCATATCTACATTAGTATAGGTAATGGGGGTTCTGCCGCAACCCCACTGGAGCCAGATATATATACCTATACTGCTAGTACAGAGGGAATTTTTTATGCAAAAATGATGATGCGATTCAACGATCGTCATGATACGTATTAAAAGAAACATCAATTTTAATTAATAATGGATAAAATTTACTATAGCCCACGAGGATATTGGAAAGGCATAGGAGCAATAAAAAAATTAGCCACCGCGGTATCTATAGATGTGGCCAAGGATTGGTTAAAGAAACAAGCGATGTGGCAAATATACTTACCGGCACCGGGTTATATCCCGAGGAAGAAGTTTGATATTTTTACAACGAATGAAGTTCATCAGGCCCCGATTTCTCGAAACAAACTTAAGTTCAAAAACTTACTTAAGTCTGAGTTTTTACTCAAATTTGAGAAAACTCAGGAATATGCATTTCTCAAACCAAACTGAGTTCAATTTTCGACTCAAACTGAGTTCGAAACCATGTAAAACTTAAGTAAGCCTACATGGTTACTTAAGTTTTTATTCGGACAAAAATGGCGATTACTAATAGTCGTAAGAGGAGATCGAGAAGGAGACAGGTTATTACAAGGCGGCTTACCGATCGTGAAAACCCACTGGAATACATGTCGGACGATGATTTGTTCCTTAGATTTAGGTTTCGGGCGGAAACGATTCTTTACATCGTGTCACTCGTGTCCAACAGACTGCAAAGACCCACTCAACGTAACAGCCCCCTTCCGACCCCAACACAGGTACTTGTTACGCTGAGATTTCTTGCTACGGGAGGCTTTTATTCCCTCATTTCTGACTCCTTCTCGGCAATATCTGCACCATCGGTCTTCCGGTCTGTCCGAGATGTTTGCATAAGTCTATGTTCAGCTGCTTACCAGTTTGTGAGGATGCCGACAGGATCAGACGCAGACACCACAAAACAGAAGTTTCACAAAATCTCAGGTAATTCATCGATCTTTCAACCGTTTTAACATTACGTTATAAAAGTAAAGGGGGCATAACTCTAGGTGCAAGTTAGAGCAATGCTAAAATCCGGAGTTTAGAAAACGGAAAACGGCATTGTTTTGAACAGGCATAATAGTTCCCTTAGGCTACATTCTGTAATTGTATAGTGTAAAATGTTCAGGTATGAATCAATATGAAATTACCATCCACCATCATCCTTTTAACCAATAAAAATAATAAAAAATAAGAATGTTTGGTATGTTTATCAAATAATAAATCATTAACAAGTATTTGAATTATCTGACATTTTCAAAAGTAGTGTGCATTGACCTTGATCATACCAGTAAGTTTATTCATAAAGCTGAAACTTGACATGCTTATTTGAGTAATATTTACAAGTATTTTGCTGTTCCATATTATGTTCACTTCATTTAACCTTAATTAGGAAGATGAATGTTTTTACACAAATACAAGATTCCAACCAATTAAAAATAAAATCATTTTCTTTTAGGATTTCCAAATGTGCTAGGGTGTGTAGATGGCACATTTGTAAGAATCATAGGCCCAAAGGTGAATGAAGGTGACTACCTGAATCGTAAAGGCTATCATTCGATGAATGTTCAGGTATGTATATAAATGGTTCACACAAGTTATGTATTTATTAACACCAATTCATTATGATTACATGATACCTAACAAATAATGGGAATTTTATGTCATTATTTACAAATGAAAGTATATTTCAGTACCAATGAAAACAGGCCTCTGCTCCCTTTCAGATGATCTGTGATGCAGAATACAGATTTATCAACTGTGTAGCAAAATGGCCAGGAAGTGTACATGAAAGCAGGATATTCAGGGATAGCAGAATCAGTGTTGCGTTTGAAAATGGTAGGTATCACATTTGATTACCAGACTTTGTAGTTGCTATGAACATCGGTACAAATGACTATTAAATAAAAAATACAAGTAACGTGAATATTTCTCAAAGCTGGTTTTATCAGAAATAAATTATGATCACATAACCACTGAAGTTGTTAAATATTTCTTGAGCTGGCATGTTGCAATGTTTTCATGAAGAAATGTAAAAGCACCATTCACGATATTCTAGCATCATTAGCAGACAGACAGCATTATGATGTGAAATACTTAAGTTCTCATTTGTATAGTGTGATCATGTCTATCAATTTATCTCCCCTGCCGTTCCAAATATTATTTGGGTGACAGAATTTCATTTGTCATGTGTTCTTATTTTTGTATGTTACAGGCACATACAAAGGTTTTTTGTTAGGGGATTCAGCCTACCCCTGCAAAACCTACCTGATGACACCATTCCTCTCTCCAGCATCTAGAAGTCAAGAAAAATATAACCGCTGCCATGTCCGAACGAGAGTTTTAATAGAACAAAGCTTTGGCATCTTAAGCGGCGATTTTCTTGTTTACATAGTGGCCTTAGAACATCACCAGAGAGGGCCTGTCAAATTATCACAGCATGTGTAGTACTTCACAACATAGGAATTGATAGGAAAGACATAATTAATTTGCATCATGAACCCTCTGATGGAATGGAAAATGCCAATGTCAATGTCAACATTGCTAATGACTGGAGTGGTGTTAATGTCAGAAATTACATATGCCAGTCATTCTTTTCATAAATCTATTTGATGTATGAAAGGTAAGATTTAGTCTCCATACATAGATGCTTGTAATATATGGTCAAAAGAATTTTGCTATTAACAATTTTTTTGATAATGCTGGTTAATATTTGGTATCTTCCTGCTCCTTCTAATTCTTGTGTACAGGTAAACAGGAGCTGTTAGACAGCCCAGGTAAAGTCAGGGATGAGTGACTTTGCTAGTTAGACAAAGTAGGCATGTGGATCCATCCATGTTACTGTCAATAGGAATGCATGAAATTAATAATAATAATAATAATAATAATATTGTTTATTAATGTGTCATGTGTACATAATACACCTGGCCATTACTGGCCTAAAAGACACCTAAAATTATACAATCAATAAAATACATAAATAAAACATTATAACTAATAATATATTTATATGTATACAGCAACCCCACCACCCAACCCCCGCCCCACTCAAGAGACACACAGATACATATTCTCATGCAAATTCAACCCAGACACCAGTTCACACACCTTAGCACCCCCCCTTCCCCTTCCCCCATATACATGTCCCAGATCAGCGAGTCACAGAAATTCAACTCGGTCAATCAATCACACGCATTATTCATTATGACCCACACACATTCAATCATGCACAAGTTCAACCGTGTCAATCAACCATTCTTTATTCACTCTGCCCAACCCTTCCTAGCACACACCCATATACGCCCCAAGTCACACCATGTCACACAGTCATGCATCTACTTTAATCCCGTCATTCTGTTTGTCCCCAATCCCCTTGGTCAGTCTGTCATATTTCAAATTTTCTACTGAATCACCTTCTCTCACAAATAATATAAAACATATGACACACAAAATTTTACATAAGGATATTGTTCACTAAAAACAGATATTTTTATATTATGGTAGTTTGGATAGGCTATTATTGAATCTGGTTCGGCTGTGACAGCTCTATGCAAACATCTGAACACTTCAACTTGAATCTTAGTCTGTTGATTTCTCCATCCCATATCACCTCGTACAGCAATATTTGAGCTATTTTTCCAAACACCCAGGAAAAATCGACAGGCTTTGTTCTGTATATGGTTAATTTCTTTATAAGTGTTCATACCCCACACGCTGGCGCTGTAGTTGAGGACAGGTTGAACATAGCTGTCAAACAATTTAGTAAACACTTCATGACTTAAACCACCCATGTTGTTGAACTTGGCTAGCACAGCCCCAAGGGCTCTATTTGCTGATTTACAAATTTCAGTCAAATTTTTTTTGTAATTACAATGCTCATTCAGCCACTTGTCAAGATACCTATATTCCATACAGTAATCAATATTGATTTCACCACAAGTAAACTGGTAAGTTCCCATAGGGATAGATACTGGTCTGCAATGCATAATCTTTGTTTTATCTTTGTTTACTCCAAGTTTCCAATGTTTAGACCAGTCAGCGAGACCATTAAGAAGCTTCTGCATGTTATATTCATCCAGAGCTATGAGCACAATATCATCAGCATACAGAAATAGTGAAATGTTCAAGTTATCAATATTAATACCACATTTCAGGTCACTGATTTTATCTGCCAAGTCATTTGTGAACATTGAAAATAAAGTTGGCAACAAACAGCAGCCTTGTTTCACACCCATGGAGACTTCAAACCAATCAGTTCTTTCTGTAATTACCTTTACACAATATTTCACTCCTTGGTACAGAGACTGAATGGCATTCAGTATAATTCCTTGAATTCCAAATTGTTTTTTCCAAAAGGCAAATTTTCTTGTATTATTTATTTATATATCTTAGCAATTAACATAGCTATTGACATAATTATTAATTCTTATTATAATATAAATTATTATTCTCTTGAAACTTGACTACACGTCTATCTTTATGTTCTTCATTTTGTACTTTGATTTCATTTTACTCTTCTTCTAATGTTACACATTTCTTTCTTAATATTTGTATTTCCAGCTCTAACTTTTCCTTCTCTAATTTGGCAATGATGTTTTTGGATCTAAAGTATTCTGCTTGTTCTTTTAATGTAATGGTTTCTTGTAAAAATTTCTCTTTTTCGGCCCTGAGGGTAAAAATTTCTTCCTCATGCAATTTAGCTTTTTTGGGGGGTGGCTCATTGAAAGGACCATTGCAGGCACTTGGGGTTGGCACTTGCAGGATTCCCTGTTTGTCAATCACAAGATCCAGTTGCACCGGGCAATCTGAAAGAATAATAATTCATCCAAATTCATAAATTGCTTATCCATGTTTCCACTGTATTTTTATGAGTGAGTGAGTATGGTCCAGCAAGATCACGACGAGGGACACCAGAAATGGGCCTCACACATTGTACCAATGTCGGGATTCGAACCCGGGTCTTCTGCGTCATGAGCTAACGCTTTAACCACTAGGATAACCTAACGCCCCATATTTTTATGAGTTTGGTTTAAATCATGATGAGTATCTGTTGATGAATTAACACTTATATCAGAAATATATTTGCATTTAATCATACATAAATGCTGAACCAGGTTTTTTTCATTGACACATGTACCTTTATTTCACAAAAATGCGCTACGTGCTGCTGTTTTCTCTAGGAAGTTATTCAATTCAATTTTTAGTACAAAGCTGACATATGTGTAAACTCATGAAATCCGACATGTACATTATTTAGAACTTACTGGGCTCATTTGACAACATGTCCATGCCCAACCCCGGATCCTCAGATGCAGTTGTTGCAGATAGTGTTCCACTGAAATCTGAAACATTCATGAACAAAATCATTATAGCCATTCTCTTTGTTTATACGTTTGTTGTGTATTTATTTTAGGACTCTATTATTTTTATGTATGCAGTGAACATGAAATAGCTATAAGACTAATTATGTATTTTCATTATCATTTTTTGAATTGTCATCATATTTTATCACATTATCACATTGACTCATAAGCATCTGTGATGAGTGTTTAATTTATTTTTTTCAATTGTTTTCATAATTATAATTCATTATATTTTTATAAAAGTAGTGATATACTTGATATATATATTAAGCATGTGCATATTTATTATACCTTCAGTGTCAAAGCCATCTAACAAACCCTGCAGGGTAGGTCGATCTTGTAGATTTTCAATGATCAACGTCTCTGCAAATGAGGGCAAGACTGGCTTTGGCCCACCACCAGTTTTGGGACGTCTGATGGCATCAGATTTGTCTTTGGCTGAAGACAAATCACCATATAACTTATTACATCTTCTTGTGATGACATTATTGATTTACCTTTGTAAATAACATACTGAAATTAACATACTGAAATGACGATGACAACAATGTTATTGTTTTCTTATTGAGTAAGTTCTGTTATTATGTATTCATTGTTTTAATTCCTGTCAGATATTTTGATTATGCTGGCCTTCAGCTGCATTGATGTACTTGTATCTGTTAATTAGTTTTCATATGCTGATACTTGTATAGACTGTAAAAGTCGAACCTCTTTGTTTCAGATTGGCATACTGTTTTTTTGCCTCCTCAACTGTTCTTTTCACCTCTCCTGATTTTCTGTTAAAATAGAAATACAGACCATCATGATAATGTTACTCAAGTGATGAAATTTAATATTTTCCTTGACCTCACACTCAACAAACTGCCTGTGTATTTTTATGTAATATGCAACAATTTGTTGTCTTACTGACTTACCACTAATGGTGTTTTCAATGCCTCCAATTTTCACCTACCCACCTATCAACAGGTAGGACAGACATATAGACATGTTTCTTCATTATCATGGACCCCATGGCAAAAAAATTAAATACTCGTATTATACATAACTATCATATAACTGTTTGTCCAGTGTTAAGTCACTGTAATTGTGTCAATGGTACATAAGTGTGAATTACATTTTAATGTATACAATACCAATATGCTGGAGTATGTCAAATGTATGCATCCATGTACCTGTCTTCATTCATGGTATTTCAGTTGTTTCCTAATGTTACATTTAGTGTGACATACCATTAATTAAATGAGTAAAAGTGTCCCAATGACATCAAAATTTAAATACCAAAAATAAAAACATGTTTTGCACTTAAACAATGTGTTATTGCAACATTTATTAATAATAAGGATATTAATACAAGAACATTGCATCACAAAATACAAATACATGCAGTGAATAATGATTTTTGATGTGTTTGCCTTCGACCGGAATCGAACCGATGTCTAAAGATTAATCTTTAAGACTACCATTCAAAAGCTTCATTACATCTAACTTAAATATTATAAATAAACACTTTGTTATCATAAACATCCAAGTATGAACCCATCACACATGTTAAAATAATACATGTGTGAACCCATCACACTTGTTGAAATAATAAATGCGTGAACCCATCACACTTGTTGAAATAATAAATGCGTGAACCCATCACACTAGTTAAATTAATAATTAAATGTGCGAATCCATTGCACTTGCTAAAATAATAAATGTATGCAAATCTAACTCACTGCAAAGGACGTTGAACCCGATACTTCTCAGTCCTGCTTCAGACATCAATGGGAGCAGAGCACAAGCACGTTTTGCAAATATTTCAGTACCTACCTCATGATGATTCTTGGCCAGAGATGAATCACAATTGCAAATAAGTACTTGTGTTTTCAAAAATTCATTTATCTACTGAGACATATCTCACTCCTAAAACAGTCCAGTAAAAATTACAGAAACGTATGTATTATTATTAATATCTTATTATTATCATTGTTATTAGAGCGAAAATACAGTACACCCCAATCACGACCCTCATGCAGCTAAAGCCTTTTTAGGTTTTCCTGATGACAAGGCCCAGATATACCTGAAACTTCCAAACTTACTTTCATCCACTTTAACATGCCACAAATATGATATTTCGGTATAACTGTTCTTCCCGTCTCTTAGTTCCCGACTTCTCTTTAGCCAAACCTTCGTGTTTGCAGTGAAATCGAGACAGTAAACAAGGTGTGAATGATGGTACGCTTTAAATATAATATCGCGGTGATTAATTTATAGTGGATCGTAACGGCGAATGCTTACTAACACAGCAACTATGTAATACGAAAAAATGTTTCTTATTCATTATTCAACTATGACACATCCATGTGTACTGATTGATGCAGATTTTCTTTATCCAATATTCGGTAAACAAAGCTTCCTGTCATTGGCGACTCAAGGGCGGGCAACTCTAAATCATCTCGCTATGGCTATTTTGGTGTGATACGTGTGGACGTGTGTTTTTCATCACTTCTTGTTTTGGA